TTTGATAATTTATTTACTTTAAACCAAAAAAAAACACTATTTTATATATAATTTAATTTTTCTGTAGAAATGAAGTAATTTTGGGATACCACGGTAGAGCGCATTTGCCAAAAAAAAAAACCGATAAAATGCGCGAAATCGCGTTCAGAATTATCTCAATGATGCAATCGCGCTCCATTGGACACTAATGGATACACACACGTCAGGAAGATGGCTATCGGCAGTTGTTTCAGGAAAAAATGAAAACTGGCCTTCTTGTGATTTCTAAGCAGAATTTTGCTGAAATACAGGATTTTTTGAAGTCTGCAAACGATTCTGGTGTGGAACGACTTTATGTGAGGTGAGTTTTCAATTTTTTCATTGAAAAATCGATTAAAAAACCGAAAAAATGGAAAGCCGAGAGTGGAGTCGGACCAAAAACTGTCAGTTCCAAAGACAAGCGTGTGCACAACTACACCACACGAGCCCATTGAGAGAGTCGTTAGAGAGGGCGTATAATAAGGGGCGTCGGTTCCGGGGAGCGACGCGGCGGCAAAATTTTTTTTTGAAATTTCAGATTATCAATTCCTCGAACTGATGATCAGATTTCAAAAATCTACCTTCTTTCCGCCAATTTGTGTCCAAAAGTCGATGTTCGGATCCTTGCAAAACCGCAGAATCCTTTGGAAACAGATGTACAGTTGTTTGGCTCCGAAAAACCTTTAGAAAGTTCTGGAAAAATCGAGAAAAAGTATAAAAAAGTAGTTTTGGGAGGCACATTCGATAGGCTACACAATGGACACAAAGTTTTGCTCAATAAGGCAATCGAGCTGGCTTCCGAGGAGATTGTCGTTGGAGTGACTGATAAGGAAATGATTATAAGTAGGTCAAATTTTTTTACTGGGATTAGTAAATCAAAAATGCTCTGAATTCAAAAATTGCGTTTTTTTTCCAGAAAAATCTCTATACGAAATGATCGAACCAGTGGAGTACCGTATGCGAAAAGTGGTCGAATTCGTGGAAGATGTTTCAGGAGAGGTTATCTTTGGAATTTTAGAAAAATGCTTCATCCTTTTTCAAATTCGTTGAAATGTTCAGAATATACTAAACGAGGTCAGAGCTTCATTTTTGTACTTGACAACTTTTTTTGAAAAATTCTCCCCAAGGAGATACGCCACCTGGAAGCGCCTCACTCCTCTTACAGACTGCAGCACATTTGGGGTCAAATCACTTCCACGTGGCGTACCTCCCCAGAACCGCATTTTGAGAAAAAGTTATCAACTACAAAAATGTAGCCCGATCTTTTTTTAGCATGCTCACAAAATTTCAGCAGAATCCAGAGTTTTTGAAATAGGTTCTGCCCACTTGAGCCGCCATTGAGCCGTTTCTAGGCCGCCCTTTTCGAATCTCAAAAAAAAAGACTGAAATGTGACTGATTTATCTGAAAATTTCAGAATATATTAATCAAGGCCAGAGCTTCATTTTTGTAATTTACAACTTTTTTGGAAAATGCGGCCCTGGGGAGGTACGCCACGTGGAAGTTGCCTCTTCTATTGGCGCAGACCGTTGCGCTAGGTGAAGCGGCGCCTTGTGAGTAGGTCACTTCCACGTGGCTGTTGTTAACTACGAAAATAAAGCTCTAGTTTTGTTTAGTATACTCAAAAGTTTACAGGAAAATCCGACAATTTTTAAGTGCTTTCTGAAAACTTTAAAATTGATATACCTCCCTCCAACTCCCACCACTGTGAGCAAACGCGATCTATCGAACCTTTTCAGGCCAAATGCACTACAGAGCCCATCATTGACCCGTATGGACCATCCATACGGATTCCAGACCTCGAAGCCATAATCGTATCAAGAGAGACTGTAAAAGGAGGAGACGCAGTGAACAAGAGACGTCTCGAAAATGGAATGAGCCAGTTGGAAGTGATTGTTGTGGAGTTGGTGGAAGGATCCGATGTGATTCTGAATGAAACAAAAATCTCGTCAAGCTCCAGAAGACGTGAAGATCTAGGACGTCTTCTGAAGCCTGTTCAGAATCCGAGGACTCCATATTTGGTCAATTTGAACGGTGGAAGTGGATCAGGGAAAGAGGAAATCGGAGAGATGCTGAAAGACAAAGCGGGAATTCAAGTTTTAAATTGGGATGAGATGTGTGAAGAAGAAAAGAGTCAAGTTTTGAAATTAGAAGCTTCCAGAATTTCCAAGGAGAAAGTTGTTGGTAAGGATTAATAAGGGGAAATGGGTCCTAACTTTGAGCTCAATTATCTCAGTTTCTGCAAAAGATATCAAAATGTAGTCAACTAACAAAATGTTGCTGATATCATGATAAACATTTTATCAATAGGTCACTTTTTGATATCTCTTGTAGGAGCTGAGATAATTAAGCTCGAAGTGCGCGCTGCTAGTTAGCTACGCGGTCGACGCCGTTGGTTGCGCGCCACCACTATATTTGCATTTTGAGCTCATTTATCTAGATTTCCATGAAAGATATTAAAAGTAATCAATTAACAAAATCTTGGTGATAACATGATAAACATTTTATCAGTTGATAACTTTTTGATATCTTTCACAGGAACCGAGATAAATTAAATCGAAAATTCTAGTTTTTATTTCAGTCCTTCTCTCCTCGGACCCTCTGGATTTTACCTCCGAAATCTGGTCCATCTTCCTTCCATCATTAGAAGCCATCAAAAGAATCATCGAGAAGAATCCGGAAATTTCAGAAGACGTCGCAAAGGAACGTCTTCAAGCTGAAATTCAGAATAAGGAGAGAATCGAGAAGTGTCACGTGGCATTTTGTGCACTTTGGAGTGAAAAGGAGACAAAGGAGCAGGTGGAGAGAGCTGTGGAGGAGTTGATGAAAAGAATTTGAATTACTATATTCCCTCTAATAGAATGGCACCCCCCTGCAGCTACTCTACTTTGACCTCAATTATCTCGATTCCAACAAAAAATATCAAAATTTTGTCAATTGATAAAATGTAGCTGATTTTGTGATTAACATTTTATCTGTTGACAATTTTTTGATATTTTTATAGGAACCGAGACAAATAAGCTCAAAGTATAGCACCTGCAAGGTGCCATTCCTCTCGGATAATTTATGAATTTTTTGGGTCGTTTTTATGTGATAATTAATTATGTGACAATTGAATATGTATCGTTTTTAAAAATGAAAAAAAAACTGTTTATTCAGAAGTCCAATTTGAAACTTAAAAAACATCAAAACTTAAAAGAAGTGTCTACTTTTTTCTCCCAAAAATTGGAGGCAATCGATTTGTTGGGAAGGCATTCGAAATCGGAAATCCTTGATTAACACCTTGCTGTCCGGAAGTTAATTGGCCTGATTGGACGAATTGTTGATTTTGGGAATTCTGAGAATTTTGATTTTGGAATCCCTGATTTTGAAATCCTTGATTTCCGAACTGTTGATTTTGATTTTGGTTTTGGTTCTGATTTTGAATTGCTTGATTTTGATTCAATGAAGAAGAAGCGTCGTTTTGGGATCCGAAGAAGTTTTGATTATTGTTTGGAGCTGGAAATTTGAAAATTTCTCAAAAAAAGAATCCTGAAGTTATCGTTTCCAATGCCGCCGCTTCTTTCTACAGGCGCCCCTTTTTATCCGCCCTCTCATGCATACCACTCGTAGCGCTCGTGTGGTGTAGTGGTCTACGCGCTTGGCTATGAAATTGACAGCTTTTGGTTCTACTCCGCGCCCCGACATTCTTCTTTTGTCGGCTTTTAATCGATTTTCAGGTTGACAAAAAACTTACGAAGAGTCTGGAAACTTTGTTGTTGTTGATTGTTTCCTCCGAAAAATCCACCACCATTCGAATTTTGGTTCAAATTTTGGTTATCCTGATTTTGAAATCCTCCATTACTATTGGCTCCAAAAAATGCTCCTGGCGTTGTAGACCCCTCGGCATTTCCAAAAAATCCATTTTGATTTTGAAGTCCCAAGTTCTGAACTCCGTCTTGATTATTCAACATTCCAAACGGATCTTCAGGAGTCGAGAAAGTGGGCGGAGCTTGAGAAGACGTCAGAATTGGCTGTGTCCACGTGGATGACACACAAATCAGAAGGAGAATAGGCAGCATCAGAAAATTGAAAATTTTTCAAAAAATTCAGTGTTTGTTGTAGAAAAATGAGCAATTGACACGACGACCTCTGTGGTGGGAGGGGTCTATTTGAACAGCTTCTAGGCTCCGCCCCCTGGGAGAGACAATAGAAAAATAATTTCTGCAGATGAATCATCATCATCACGAGTCCAGGGATCAGAATAATATTTTGGGATTTTTGGTTTAAAAAAAAAATATTTATTCATTTTCAAAAATTCAATCGGAAAAATAAAATTACACATACAGCTTCATATATAGAATTAATCAACAAAAAAAAAAGAAATAAGGCAACTTATGGTACTTTTTCATAAATAGATACATGTAATCAGTCATTTTGTGTTCATGTTGCACCATCGAAAATCGATAAGGGGGGTTTCAAAAAAATAAAGAAAAAATAGCTAAAAATTATGCTTCTGGCGTTCCATCCTTCTCATAGCGAGCCTTATTAAGATGAGCAAGCTTATGACGGGCCTCTCCGAGTTCTCGCTCCTTCCTGAGCACTTCTTCTTGAGCATCCATCACTTGAGCAATACCATTCACTAGTCTATCGGAGATGGCAATGTTGCGATCGTCACGAGCGATTCCTTGCTGCGCGGATTGGACCAAACGTTCGGCGGCGTTCTGGAATTGTTTTTTGTTGGTTACAAAAGCACGAAGATGCTGTCTAATACATTTGAATTTGGAGAATAGGTCAATCAAAAATAGAGCTTCATTTTTGTAGTTGATAACTTTTTAGTAAAGTTAGGTCCTGAGAAGATATGCCACGTAGAAGAGAGCCACCGCCGCCAAGCCAACAAGCGCTCTCAAAAGATGCCCCTCTTCCACGTGGCATATCTCCTCAGGACATAATTTTCCCATAACGTTGACAATTACTAAAATGAAGCTCTATTCTGGAGCTTTATTTTTGTAATTGATAACTTTTTCGTAAAACTTAGCCCTAGAGAGATATGCCACGTAGAAGTGAGGGTTCCTCTTGGCGCCGCAGCCGAACCAAATGGCGCCCAGAGGCTTGCAGCTCTTCCACGTGGAATATCTCCTCAGGACCAACATTTCGAGAAAAATTGTTAACTACCAAATGGAAGCTCTATTCTTGAGCTTCATTTTTGTAATAAACAGTTTTATGATAAATTTAGGTCCTGAGGAGATATGCCACTTGTAAGAGCTCCTACTTTTAGCGCGCGAGAAGTAGCGCTACTTGAACGTGGCATATCTCTCCAAGGAGAAGAGCTACAAAAAAGTTGTCAACTACAAAAATGAAGCTCTTTTGCTGTTTAGTACACATCTTCTCTTAAAAGTGCCACATTTTTAGTACTCACCCTAACAGCCTGTCCAGCAGCCTGTAACCTCCTGTTTGCCTGACTATCCGGATCAGCTTTCACATTACACGCTACCAACAATTGAGCGGTCGAGCTGGAGACCTGCTTGGCGGCACTGATCAATCTCTCTTCTGTAGTTTGTCCCTTCATCAAAGTGTTCGCAGCATCGCACAACTTATGCACAGACGCAACGACGACACGGGCGGCACTTGTCAGTCCTTCGGACCATTGATAGGTTCCTGATCCCGATGGACGTGTCTCGGTTCTTCCTTGCATTGCGAGCTCTCGTTGAGCACTTGTTGCGGCACGGACCAGAATGTGGACGGCGTTGGTGATGCCTTTCGCTGAGGCAATGATGTTCTCATCAAATTCGGCTTCGACGATTTCGTGCTGCAAAACATTAGTATTGAGCATTTAGAATTTTTCGATTTGTCTGAAAACTTTTGACTATACTAATCAAAACTAGAGCTTCCTTTTTGTAGTTGACCACTTTTTTGTAAAATTTGGTCCTGAAGAGATACGCCACGTGGAAGCGCCGCCCCTTTGGCGCCTATCGTCGCGTTAGTCGAGGCGGTGCCTTGGGAGTAAGTTACTTCCACGTGGCATATCTCCTCTGAGCCAAATTTTAGAAAAAAGTTGTCAACTACAAAAATGAAGCTCTCGTTTTGTTTAGTATACTCAACAAAATTTCAGAAAGATCCGACAAGTTTGAAGACCATTTTCATGGCGCTAAAACTGGGAGGCTTAAAATGTTTCAATTTTTTGCCTGCCTCAAGAATCAAAGCCCTAGATATCCGATTTTTTTTGTGCGATTACTTTTAAAAACTTACCCACCGTACCATTTTCATTAAATAATAATGATTCCAACCCAGCCGGCCGTCGATACGTCTAATACTTGAGTTACAACAATCATTATCAGATAACCCAAGAATATCAGACATATCAGCGGCCGGTGGGTGGAAGGAATACTGATTATAAGTATGTATAGTATAATAATAGCAGAAAATTGGTAGAATATAGACAAATAGGGAATACTCAAGTTCTCGATAAAATTTGAGTTTTTTTTTTAACTAAAAACAGATTTTTAGATCAGAAAAAAGACCAACTTTGAATGCCGAAAAAAACTATTGAAAATTTTTTAATTAGCCTCAAATTTTCAGAGTATGCTAAACAAGAATAGAGCTTCATTTTTGTAGTTGACCACATTTTTTTGAAATTTAAGCCTGAAGAGATATGCCACATGGGAGCGCCCAATCTTTAGACTCCGACCGTCGCGCTCTTCGAGGTAGTGCGTTGAGAGTAGATCACTTCCACGTGGCATATCTCATAAGAGCGCATTTGTACAAAAAAGTTGTCAACTACAAAAACAAAGCTCTTGTTTTGTTTAGTGTTGTCAAAAAATTTCAAAACACTCGGAACAATATAAAATAGTTTTCCAAGCAATCAAAGTGGACGAACTTTCACCTACCGTATTCTCTTGCACCGTCTGTCTTGGTCTCAGCTCTGCCAGCTTCAACGAGGCAGCTTCAATCGAGCTAGCCGCTCCCAACAGCTCATTCTCCGCCTGCGCGGCCGCCGAATCCATTTCCATGTGTCCATGTGGCACTCCAGTCATTTCATTACACAGCCCAACCAAATTGGACAGTGCCCGAGAAACTTCTCTAGAAGCATCTAGCAGAGTCTGCTTCGATTGCTCTTGTCCTGGTTTGCTAACCATTTGACCGTGAAGAGACACTAAAAGATCCTTGACCTTATCCGCCACATCTCTTCCCGAATCCAGCACCGCGTATCTCTGTTGTACAGTATCCGCTTCATTACTAATCGTTCTGATCACAGCAAGCAGTGACCTCACAGCGCTTCTTGACAAGTTGGCAACACCGATGATCTCCTCTTCAGTCTGTCCTCCTGCCATCACTCTCTTTGTAATCTCTGCCACGTGATCAGCACTTTGTTGAAGATTCTCGACTCTGATATCCGATGAAGCAGCGACGCCTTCATTGATATCATTGTCAAACTGACTCTTCTCGAATCCAATAGCTTCGATTGCTGCCTCCACAGCTCGTGTACCCTGTTGACTCTTCTCTTCCACTGCTGCAATCGTTCTCAGAAGACGTGACACGTTGCCAACCATAACCTTGGCGGCGTCCTTAAGATGTCCCATTGCTGGATGTTGAAGGGACAATCCAGAGGCATTCTTGGTGGCTTGAATGAGCGATGTGAGTGCTGCAGCCACGTCACGAACAGCATGGATCACGAGAACTTGACTCTCCGAATTGTCGGATGACAAACTGACAGCTCCAGATTTGACTGCATCGGATAGGTTGACAATGGTTCTGACTGCATTCTGGGCAGCAACTGCAAGTTGTTCCTGATTAGATGCTGCTCCTGCTACTAGAGCCTTGGTATCTTCTACCAATGCCTTTGCGGTCTTGATGATAGCATCCTTGTGAGCTGGGAACTTCCTGCCATCAGAAGAATTCAAAGATCCCGAAGTGGCAAACATAATAGTGGTATCCAAATCTCCGATAATTCCACTAACAGTGTTGGCTGCATTGATACAGGCTTGAGTTCCACGGGATGCTTGATGCAGGGCAGCGAGCACTTGATCGACTCTCTCCTCAACCAACGCGGCGTGTTGAATAAGCTGTCGTTGAATTCGCTCATCTTCGGGATGGGCACGTTTGTGTCCAGCAACTTGGACGGTGTCGATGCAGCTGGTTCCAAGGTTCTGAACGGCGAATTTGAGGCGAGATCCGATTTCTGCTTCTGGCAGAAGTTGGACAGCTACACGCAGATCTGTTGCAACCAATCGATACTTCTCACTGAGATTCAAGGCGGCAGATCCGAGATCCGTGGTATTCAGAGTTGGCATCTCAATTGCAGTTCTTCGGATGTCTTCCAAGCAAGCCGTCATTTTAGTCTGGGCTTCAGCAAACGAGGATCCATGCTGAGAAGTCATTGCAAGATCAGTGTTAGCAATCGAAGATGAGATAGTGTCCACCAATCCCTGAACTCCTCCTTGTTCACTAGAAACCTTGGCAATCGTTTGACGCATATCTCCGATTGCATGCTTCAAATTTCCAGCAGCGTCTTGAACATTGGCATGAGCGTGAACGGCATTTGGATTACCTCCGGACTCGCGGCTAGCAATCATCATTGCCAACTCAGCCTCCACCACTGTCTTACATTTATCAAACAGTTCGGTTTGTTGGTTGCTGTCTACAGTCATACCAGCGGCAAGGCAAGCAGCTTCGGCGAGATCTTCAACCATCCGACAGTGAAGTTGAACAGCTTTTGGAAGACGTTCTCCGTGTTCGACTGCAGCACTGTGAAGGTCATCAACTTTATCCTCGAGCTGGCTAGCAATGTGTTGGACTTGTTGAAGGAGCTGACGTTCGGCGTTAGCACCATGTTGTTGGACATTTCCACTAGCGTATGCATCCATTGCACTTCTTTCAACCTGTCCAGAGAGGGCTGAGAGTCTTCCGATAGCAGTTTCCAACTCGATTTGGCCTGGAGCAGCTTCATGAATTGCGCTGACAAGGCGCATGATGGAATCGGAAACTTCTCGACTGTTAACAGCCATTCTTTGCCATGTGGCCTCATCCTGTGGAGCTGATGCCCATGACTTGGCTGTATGAATCATCTGAGCACTGGAATCCAACATTTCGCGACTGGCTTGAAGAATCGGAAGTTGAGCGGTGCGTCCTTCATTCGAGATTGTTCCTTGGATAGCAGCGAAATCTGGCTTGTCAGCAAAATGAAGAAGTTGTTGAGCAACTTGACGAAGCTCTGAAGCACTTGTGGAGCAGCGGCTGTCGGCGTCTGGAACACGTTCGATATCTTTGAAAGCGTTGACTAGGCTGGAAGTCATGGTGGCCACTGATAAGGCGCATCCGACGAGGTGTTTCTTGACATTTGGATTCTGAGTTTTCTCGGAAGCCAGCCTGCATAGCTGGGCGAGCGATGAAGATTGTTTGGTGACTGAGGAAACTTCGGACATCAAATCGGTTCGATCCAAGTTTCTAGACTCGATTCTCTGGCACGAACTGTTAATGGATTCGACGATTCTAGCCACTTCAGATGAATCGATAAGGGCGGCACGTCCTGGAGAACTAGCTGGATGTGATGTTCCAACTAGGTAAGCAGAATGGGATGCCGATTCTGCTAACGAGCAGAGAGCATCTGCAGAGTTTCGAACGCTAGTGCAGAATCCTTCGGTATCATTGGCCTTGGCGTGTCTAGCCATTCCAGTCATCGCCTCTCCCAGTCTTCTGGATCCTTCTGACACTGATTGAAGCGATTGGAAGTATCCGTTATCGTTGAGTGGAACATTTGCTTGCTGTGTGACGTGGTAGACAGCTTGGATGCGTCGAAGAGCGGCGTCACATTCTCTCTGCCATCTGGAGTCTGCTTCGGGCTCAGAGAGCTCAACAAGCTGATTGACGACGGTGGCGAGTTCGCTTGTCTTCGATGTGAATTGCTGGGAGAGAGTCTGATCGTTGGGTCCACCAGTGATGCGAAGGGTCTCCAGGACACCAATAGATCCGCGTTGTGCTTCTTCAAGTCTATCCACAATTGCTGTCTTTGTATTGACATTTGCGTGACGTTGAAGCTGAGCAATCACCGAACCATGAAGATCACAGTAGGCTCGGACGAACACATCGACGGCTTCAGCGTTTTGTGGAGAACCAATTGTGATAACCAGCTGCGAGGTGGCTTCGCTGAACTTGTTGGCTGCCTGACGGACCTCCATTGCTCTCAAGTTCTTTGACGTCGATGCTCTCTGAATCTCTTGAATCGCACGCTCCACATGCTTGGTGTCTGGGAGGCAGGAGATGACTTGACGGAGATTGGTAGACACTGATTGAGCAGCTTCAGTGAGTTGAGAGACGTGACATTGCTCACGTACTCTATCGAAGACTCTTCCACAGTCATGAACAACAGAACGGGCGCTGACGATCAGTTTGTCGAGGGCAATGTCAGTACGGACGGTGACGATTTCGGTGACAGCGTCAGCAAAGTTACGAAGTCCTTGTGCTAGCTCGACAGCTGATGTGGCAACATAACGATCATCGTTAGAAGTGGTGGCTGCTGTGATCAATTGAGCGACACCAGATCCCACATTCGTTGTGGTAGCCATCAATTTCGAGCTAGTACTAAACGACGTCGCATGTGGAACTGGTGGAAGTTGATTGAGTTGTGCCTTCCTCTGCGTATTGATAAGCTGCTCGTCGAGCTCCTTGATCAGCTCCTCACTATGAAGAAGTTGTTGGGAGAAGTTGAGTTGTTGAGCGTCATTCACAGCGGTTCGAAGTTCAGCAAGTGATGTTCCTAGTCGGTTGGCAGACTGATCGAGGGAGGATGCCAAGTGAGTATCGGAGATCATTGGGACAGTGGTTCGGGCGGTTTCGAATAGTCTCACTGATGTCTCAAGAAGGTTGTATGAGTCTCGAATAAGACGAGATTGTGCTCGGAACTTGTCGGATGGTGTTTCAGAGCGTTGACTCTCGCGAATCGATGTGATGATTCTGGAAAAATACACTTTTGAAGAGGAAGGGGTCATAGTCAGGAAACTTAAGATCCTAATTGTGAGGTCTATAGTATTCTTAGGAAGCCAAAAAGAGCCAAAAAGACAACTGGCCAGCTGTCAAAATTACCTAGTTCGGTACCTAGTATCAATGTCATACAGCTGCTGTAAAGAAGCATAAAGCAGCTGGAAATGTAAGGTTCAAGTTTTTGGATATTGCTCAGACTTCAGAGCTCAGAATTCAAAGACCCCATTTTTAGCCACTATTTCAGCAGTCTGAAAATCAAGTTCATACTTTTTAGATTGTCTTTTAATATTCAGAGTAGACTAAATAAAACCAGAGCTTCATTTTTGTAGTTGACAACTTTTTTGTAAATTTCGGTCCTGAAGGGATAAGCTACGTGGAAGTGTGGTTATTATTCTTAGCGCCAAAACTTGAGCGATATTCAATGTAGCTTAGCTTGCGTAGCTCAAAAAGTACAGTTTTGTGTTAACTACAAACGTATAGAACAAAAATAGAGCTTCATTTTTGTAGTTGACCACTTTTTTGTAAAACATAAGCCTGAAGAGATATGCCACGTGGAAGTGTGGGTACCTCGAGGCGCCGACGCCGCTCATGCAGCAAGAGCGTGCTGGAGAAGTAAGGTACGTACACGTAGCATATCTCTTTAGGCTTAAATCTTACAAAAAAGTTGTCAACTGTAAAAATGTAGCTCTAGATTTAATTGACACAAATTAAAAGTTTCAAAATTTTAAAAGCTTTTCTCGCAACTATTGTAGGCTGTCCAATCTCGTAATCCACTTTTCTAGTTAATTAGACCTATCAAACTTTTGACTCTAATTATCTCGATTCCTAGTACAAATACAAAAAAGAAATTAACTAATAAAATGTGTAAAATTTAATTTTACACAATTCACTAGTTAAAAATTTTTGCTATCTCCTATTTGAAGCCACCTATATCTTATTTGAAGTCATTCCCTTACCCTGGCACATGTTCCGCGGTTCTGGTCGACTCGAAAACCAGTTTCTCATTGTAGGTGCGATTCTCGATGACATCCTGAAAAAAATAATTTTAGTGAAACTTTTTGACCTATTATATTTTAAATGTCAACTCCATTCAATTAGTTAGAGCTCAAAAAGTTAGTATCAATTCCAAAAAATTCATTTTTTTAGTTCATTAGAAGAGAAGAGCAAGAAAAAAAAAAGAAACCGAAAGAAAACATTTGTGTGGTGGGTACAGTAGTACGTCGAGGGGGTGACAGAGTTCACCACCGCCAGCCAAAAATCGATATGTTTCAAAATAAAATTTCAGAAGACGTTCCTCTCACACTGCACTCTCATCAACCACTTACGAAGCAGCTTGCCGATCAGGGGACCAAGATTTTTAGAATTTTCAGTGAACAGACTTTTCGATGATATATAGATTTATTGATTTTTGGATTTTACAAAAAATGTATTTTGAAGGGCAGTAGTAGAAACATGGGCAAGACAGATATGATGTCGATATTTTTTTTTGGTTTTTTTTCTAGTCAAAATCTAGAAATAGTGCACTGGAGCGCACTTGCCAAAAAGGCGGGAAATTCAAAATTTTCAAAATAAGGGCTCTTAACGAATACGTAAGATAGTGTGTGAATCATCGACTAGAAGCTGTTCAGTGGTCTCTGTACGTTTGTGCTCTTGCTGCTTCTTCTGCAAAAATGCTCCATGGAGAATCGGAGGCTCCGCCCACACCCCTCTCGTGTACACTGACTCCGCCCCCAAATCATCACAAATTATTTTCAAATTTGTCTCATTTTGAACACTCACACACTCACTCACACTTTTTTTTCGGGATTTTTGAATGTTTGGAATTTTTGGAATTTTTAAAAAATTCAAAAATCTCATTGTAGCGCCAAAACTTGAACATTTTTGTTATCAGATTCAAAATTTTATAAATTTTGAAGCATTTGAAATTTTATAGTAACTTTATCTAGCTATCCATAGCTTTAGCATTTGCGTCATTTCAGCTCAAAGGGCACCTCAACTGTGACCTAAATTATCTCGGCCCCTCTAGCATTTATCAAAATTTTGTCAACTGATAAAATGTTTACCATACTATCAGCAACCTTTTACTATTTGACCACTTTTTGATACCTATTACGGAAATCTAGATAATTGAGCTCAAAGTGCAAGTATCATGATGGCGCAACCAACGGCGCCGACCGCTTGGCGCCACTTTCAGCTCAATTATCTCGACTTCCATTAGAGATACAAAAAATCTGTCAACTAATAAAATATTTATCATATTATCAGCAACATTTTATTAGTTGACCGCATTTCGATATTTTTCAGGGGAACCAAGATAAACTGGTTTGAAGTTAGAGGGTCTTAATACTACGGCAGCTACAATCTATACTTTGAAAAAAGTTTGAAGCTCACCTTGGTCGAATTAGCTGCGGATATCGTCTGCGTAGCATCATAGGCGGTCTGCTTAGCAGCCTGCTCCAATCGCTGCATGATATGTTGCTCCTGTTGCTCTTTTGTCGTTTCATTGGTCACTTTTCCCAGATTCTCAGCAGCCGTTCTCAGAGCATATTCAGTTTCCACATGGCGTGGCTGGGATTCAGCTTGCTCAGTGGCCAAAATCATTTCAGATGTGGCATGAGCAACCTTGGCAGCAGCATCGAGAAGACGGTCACGATGCTCTGGTCTCTGATGAGCTTCGTGTTGGAATTGCTCAGTGAGCAGTTGACTGTGTCGGACAACCTTACGAGCTTCTCTAGTAAGATCCTCACTAGGTCCCTGATGAACAACCATTCGATTGGTTCTTCTCAAAACTTCATTATACATCTCTTCCTCCTTTCTTCTAGTTGTCATCGTCTTTGGTGAGCACTTGGCGTGCTCCAAAAGACTATCCAAAGCGCTTGTGACTTGACGGGCGGCCTCGTGGATATCGGTAAGGCTCGATTGTTGATAGACGGCGTGTTCGGCGTCGTGAAGAAGGTTGTTGACGGATTGAGAGACTTCTGTGGCAGCTGTGGTGAGTTGTTGCTGGCAGGCGTTGTTGTCGATGGTTGGGGCAACGACTCTGGCGCAGGCGACGAGTTGGGATGTGGCGAATGCACATTTTGTTGCTGACTGGATGACACGCTCTTGGACTTGTGGCTCTTCGCAGTCGGCAGAGATTGTCTTGGCGCTGAAAATGGGAAAATTTAGATTTGAAAGTGGGCGGCAGCTTAGAAACGGCTCAATGGCGGCTCATGCAGGACCTATTTCAAAGACTGCAAAGGAACTTTTAAACTTTTTGAAGATTGCTGAAAATGTCAAAATATACTAAACCGAAATAGCTTCATTTTTGTAGTTAACAACTTTTTGGAAATTTTGATCCTGAAGAGGTACAACACTTTAAAGCGACCATATCTTTTGGCGCCGACAGTCGCGCTAGTGGCGGCAGTGCCTAGAGGTACCCTCATTTCCACGCGGCGTATCTCTTCAAGCTTAACTTTTACGAAAACCCTGTCAACTACAAAAATGAAGCTCTAGTTTTGCTTAGTCTAACCTATAACGTTTAAATGAATATAAACAAATTTAAGCAACTTTTGTAGGCTCCTAAAATCAAAAGTCTGAAAATCCCAAAAAAAAAATCTTTCAAACCCTTTAAAATGCCTCCTATTCAACGACTGTGTCGACGCAGTGCTGCTCGTCGAGCCACCCGACCAACTGACACTTCCACACTTTTTCAGTGGAAGTGTCCCACCACCCCGACGGAGTGTTCCAGAAGGCGTCCGCAGTGGTGGGCGGGGCGTAGTGCCAGTATAGTAATTAAATATGTGCACATCGCTAACAATAGTCGGTGGCGGTTGTGTGGGTAGTGTTCTCGTTTTCATTTTTTAAACGAAAAGAGGAGAATATAAGTATCAGGAGGAAGCAGAATATATCTTTTTGAAGTGTATCAAAAAGAAATAGAGGAGGGGGGAGGGATATTGATGATATTATCTTATTCTTCTTCTTCGTCTTCTTCTTCTGATGACATAAGCATCAGAAGGGTGGGGTCCATCCTCTAGCTACGCAACACAACAGGTTCTCCTGGATATCAAAAGATTCTCCTCTTTTTTTGTAAATGTCTTAGTGATGGGATAATTAGAGGGATGGAATGGATGATAAAAGAGAGAGGGGAGGAGGGATTAATGGAAGCTTATTGAGTTGGAAGTAATCGACAAAAGTTAGGTGGAAATGCAAATAGAAGACTTTAATCATCATTATCTAAGTCATTAAAAAATAAAAAAGAATTTGAGACTTGAGAGGAATCGAACTTTGGTCTCTGGATTGATAGTCTAGCTTACTAGCCACTAGACTGTCCGGGCGCGCAGAGGCTTCCCCGGTTGTCGGCCGTGAGTATACTAGCTACTAGGTCAAGGGCGTCGGCTGCCCGCCGAGCCGGCCTACCGGCTAGTAGGCTTGTCTTTCAATCGAGAGACCAAAGTTCGATTCTCTCCTAGTCGCAAACTCTTTTGCTTTTTTTATGAGCTGAAATATGATGAGGAAAGTTGATTTACAGCCTCCCCGAAAAGTTGGAAAATATTGACATTTCAAAAAATTTGAAAAATGTGGAAACTTGAAATTTTCGAATATTTAGACTCAAAAAGTTAAATTTTTGAAGCACATGAAAGTTTTGGGTGATTTCAATACATATATAGCAACTCTATCTGGCTATCCAGCTTTAGCCTTCGTGCCATATTTTCTCAACGGGCACCTTAACTTTGACCTAATTTATGTGAGAGATATCAAAAAGTGGTCAACTGATAAAATGTTTGTCACATTATCAGCAACAATTTATCAGTTGACTACTTTTCAATATCTCTCACGGAGATCTAGATATTTGAGCTCAAAGCTCAACTGTAGTAGTGGCGCAACAGAGGGCGCCAACAGCTCGACTCGCATTCAGCGTCCACTTTGAGCTCAATTATTTCGACTCCCATTAGAGATATAAAAAATTTGTCACTTAATAAAATGTTGGTCATTTCATTCAGCATCATTTTGTTAGTTGACCAATTTTTGATATCTTTCACAGGAAGCGAAATAAATTGGATCCAAGTTAGAGGGTCCTACTACTACTACGGTAGATCAAAGTCTCAAATTATTTTCCCTTATTTATGAGCTAAAGGATGATGAGCAATTTCGATTTAAGCCTTTTAAAGTCCCCAAACTAACCACAAAACCAATTGCGCTGTCGATGTGGCGACATGCTTGGCCCTTTGCACCAAATAATCATCATACTGTTGTTGATGTTGACTTGGTGGATCCATCGAATTGATCACTTGCTGTGAGAACTCTCCAACTCTTCCGGCCGCTGTGAACACCTTGTTTCGACGCTCATTCTGTTCTGGGTTCACCGCTGTCAAGAAGTCTCCGAAAGCTCCACAGAGCAACTTAGTGGCCTGCACCAAGTCTCCACGCTCTTCTCGTTCCATGAACGCTCCAAGATCTCTGACATTTCGAGAAACGTCTGGAAGGTTGGAGCCAATTGTGGCGATGGCCGAACCCACACGGTCGTCGTATTCCTCGACCGCCGTCCATTGAACAACTTGAGCTGTTGCGGCTCCCATTGCGGCCAATCTCTCATTCACATTCTCCTTATTAACCGCCTTCTGCTCCTCCATCCATCTGTTGGCTGAGAGGTCATCGTTGAATCTTGGAATATCGATTTGTGGCTCCGCCTCGAGCTCTTCTTCAGCCTGCTCGACAGTTCGGATAGTGGCCTCGATGGTTCCGATTAGAGCGCGTTGTGGATGTTGATACATGTCTTGATAGCGAAGGCGTTGAGCCTGGAAATCATTATTATCAATAGAGCGAATTTGAAAATCATTGGAACCTAAATCTTCAAAAATGGGGAACCAAAAAAACTTGAACTAAAATAACTTCTTCCAAAGGGATTTGAAAAAACAGGACCAATACAAAAAGCTTGGGATACCTATTATTTGTTATACACCCAGCTTGTTTTCACCACCTGGAATACCGTTCTTGAGAAAAATTAAAAAATCTGTACACTAAACAGAACTAGACCTTTAATTTTGTAGTTAACACTTTTATTGTGAAATTTGACCCAAAGGAGATATGCCACGTGGAAGGCATCATCCGCCTCCCAGTCGACCAGCGCTCTCAGCGAAGGCTGAATTCCACGTGGCGTATCTGGCTAGGATCAAATTGTTGAGAAAAGTGGTCAATTACAAGATTAAAGCTTCATTTTTGTTGATTGCGACTTTTTTCTAAAATCAAACCCCGAGAAGATATGCCAGGGTTTAAGAGCAGGCACCTCTTGGCGACGGCGCCTCGCGGCATACACACTTCTACGCGGCATATCTTCTCAGGGCCTAATTTTACCAAAAATATGTTTACTACAAAAATAAAGCTTTATTTTTACTAAGTCCAATCTGAAATTTTCAAAAGAAGTGGTCAAGTTTGAACTACTTTTGTAGGCAACTCACTCTAGCCAACTCCTGAGATGTGATCTCTCCACTAACTGCTCCATACTGTGCTCCATTGATACCGTAACCCTGTCCACCTTGTGGCGTTCTGAGCACACCGCGAACAGCAACGAGACCATCCTGAGCATGCTGTCCATTTCCAATTTGTCCATGTGCCACAAGGGTAGCCTTGGCCGGTGCAACCATATCCTCCAACATTGTAGATCCCTCGTCTCCTTCGATTCCTTGATGATCCTGAGTTCTCTTCTTCTTGAGGATGATATCCACGTATCCTTGAATCAGTTGAGCAATCTTTTCTCCGTCGGTGGTCTGTACGGAGTAGTATCCATCTTGATAGTCTCCAAAATCCAGTGTAAAACATTTTGGAGATGGAACCCAACGACGGACTTGTTCCAATGGCCATTCCTTGAGGATTTCTTTGGTTTTCTCGTCGACTCTCATTACGCTTTCTTTGTTGACACCTAAAAAAAAACAATTATTTTTGAAAATCGTTGAAGCTTTAAGTTGAACTTTAAGTTAAAGCTTCAAGTTACCGTAAACACTGCCCACCCAAACCTTCAACTATGAACCATATATCTCGGTACCTGTCGAAGATATCAAAAAGGATATCAAAAAGATATCAAAAAGGGGTTACCGGATAAAATGTTTATCATAGTATTATTAATATTTTATTAGTTGACTACTTTTTGGTAGCTTTCACAGGAAATGAGGTAATTGAGCTCAAAGTGCAAGTATAGTGGTGGCGCAACCAACGGAGCCGACCGCGTGGCTCACTAGCAGCGCGCGCTTTGAGCTCAATTATCTCGATTTCTGTAAAAGATATCAAAAAGTTTTTAACTAATAAAATGTTTCTGATATTATGATAAACATTTTTTTAGTTGACTACTCTTTGGTATCTTTTACAGGAACCGAGATATATGATTTCAAAGTTAGCGGTTCAAGTGGCCTTCCCGTAGTGTTTACGGTATGTTAAGCTTTTAGTTAAAACAATAAGTTAAAGAAGTAAATAAAATAACTTACCCAAAAGTCTCGGCACCAACTTATTCTTTCCTGGAAGCTTCTCCTTGACAACAAAGAATGTGACTCCATAGGTCTTCAATCCTCTACACAAGTGCACATACTTGCTCTTCGCATCCAACTCGGACGTTCCAGAAAGTTCTTTGTACATCGCCACCACCTTCTTCTCATTATCCTTATTCTTGGCATACTCCTTCGGCAGCACATCTCGCCCATCCAAATGGAACTTTGGTTTATCATGTGGAAAATCACCATATTGAATGTGAGACTGAAGTGCTCCCAACTCTAATGCCTTCTCTTTTTCGACTGGATGAAGTCCTCGAAGGATACCATCACGACATTGGACATAGAGAAGATTCAATTGGACTGGATCCCGGCTGTCTACATTGGAATCCGAGAAGAAGTATTTGCGTCTGAGGACAAGTGTCTCTTCCTCCGAAATCGCCTGCTCTCTCAACGTCTTCTGATGGTCCAACCATGGGAGTTCCTCATCAGTATGAAGTTTCTTTCTAAGTTCCTCCATCTTAGCCTCATCTTTTCTTCTCATTGTTCCATAAACTCCACCGCCTCTATCCGAACTTCTAGCTCGGTTTTCTTGATTCTTCAAATTCCACGTGGATCCTCCACCTCCTCCATCTCTTCCATTCTGCATCAGAATGTCATCCCGAACCAGTGAATACTCTTCATAGTTGGAAATTCCAATTTTGTTACAAACTGTCATCATCAACTGGGACACTGGTTGCGACTCATCGACACTGATAGTTTTAACGGCTCCATCCAACATTCTGACTTTCAGAAGTCGAATCTTTCGCTTATATTCAATTTCGTCTTTGCTTCTGACCAGATAGTGCTCGAAACTTCTACCATTGTCCATCCAGATCGATTTTGTTGGCTCGTTTCCGATACGGAATAGACCGTATTCGTGTGCATTCGTGTCCGTCATTCCGAATTTTTCTCTAATCAGTTTAATAGCATCGTATACCAGGGTGGACGGATCGAACTGCATCATCTTCTTGATTCCCTTCTCCTGACAGGAGACTGTCAGACTCAGGACACCCATTTTGATCTGGAATTTCAAAAAAATTGTTTTGGGGAAATTGGCAGGAATTTGAATTTGAAAAAAAAGAAAGTGGGAGAAAACGTTCATAGTGACAACTTGAGCTAGTTGGAAATAGATTAGCAAGTTGTGGAACATGTGTTACAGCTGTGGGGTAGAAAAGGAATAGTATGGGAAATTGAGAGAAAGACACTTTTTATGGTGACTTATTTCACCGGACACAGCAGGAGAATGAGACAAGGAAAAGGAGCCGGCTAATTAGCCCATCATATACATACACTTTGAGCTCAATTATCTCGGTTTCTAAAAGAGCTTTCTAAAACTTGTTAATTAATAAAATGCTTATCAGGTTATCAGCAACATTTCATTAGTTGACCAAAATTTGATATCTCTGACAACGACCGAGATAATTGAGCTCAAAGTGCACGTATATAGAAGTGAAGGAAAAGGGGGCGGAGCCAATAACCACTCACTTTTGGATGAAAAGCTAGTTCAAAATTATCGAATCATCATGAAAATTTCAAAGTAGAACAAACAAAAATATGGCTTCATTTTTGTAGTTAACAACTTAATTGTGAAATTTGGTCTCGAGGAGATATGCCACGTGGAAGTGATCTACTCTCAAAACACTGCGACGACCAGCGCGAAAGTCGGCGCCTAAAGATGGCATCGCTTCCACGTGGCGTATCTCTTCAGGACCAAATTTTACGAAAAGTTGTCAACTACAAAAATGAAGCCCTAGTTTTGATTAGTCTATTCTGAAATTTTTAGAAAAATCTAAAAAGTTTGAAACAGGCCGGCCACGCCCTCTTGAGCCGTCATTGAGCCGTTTCCAGGCCGCCCGCTTTGAAGTAGTCTATCTCGCGTAGCTCAACTCGCACAAACATAGTGTTAATTACAAAAATGTAAAACAACAATGGATTTTTGATTTTCTAGTTTACTGCTTTTTTGTAAAACGCTATTCTGAAGAGATATGCGCCTTTAAAGTCGGTACGCGCACCTGGTGAAGCTAGAAAGCCATCTTTAAAGACGCATATCTCCAAAATCCAAAGAGTTACAAAATAGTTGTCAACTACAAAAATGATAATTTGTTTTCGTTTTATTTACTCTGAGATTTTCAGATAAATCCGTTAATTGTCAATGGCCTTTGGAAAGCATTAAAGTTAAAGTCATTTACTAAAGACGTTGTCACTTCCCGGAAAAAAAAACATAGGCTCCGCCCACTTCTTAAAGCTTTCAAAAAATCGATAAGGTGTTGAAAGACACATACAAAAAGAAGCAAAGAAGTATCTATACAACATCCCTATGGCATTTCTCAGGGGGCATCATCATCAACAGATGCTCAGCTCCGAGGCATCCTTCCGATCATCCAACAGGGGACCGCTTTACACACTTTCGACAGTTGAGTTCGCGGAGGTGAGATAGTGTGAAGAGAAAAGAAGAAGAAGAAGATGATCGTGGGCGGAGTAGATTTCTGCGGGGGAGAGCAGTGGTGTGGCACATAGAGAAGGAAGAAGAAGAAGTAGAGGGGGACGATTTGAGAACTAAGAAAGAAGAAAAAGAAGAGGAAAGAATTGTTAGGGATGCATTGGGAATGCATTGTGATTGCGTGTCCCTAAATTTGCATGAATTTTGGATACGATGCATGTATGTCATTTCCATATCATGAGATATGTTGAAAATTTGAAGCCTCTAATTTAGAGCTCAATTATCTTGGTTCTTTTGAGAGATATCAAGAAATGATCAACTGATAAAACATAGGTGATAATATGATACATATTTCATTAGTTTACAAAATTTTAATATCTTTTATAGGAACCGAGATAATCAAAGTCAAAAAATGAGTGTCGATCTCGTAGCTCACTATCAGCGCGCACTTTTAGCTCAATTATCTCGGTTGCGATAAGAGATATCAAGAAGTGGTCAACTGATAAAATATTTCTGATATTATGGTAAACATTTTATCAGTTAAAACATTTTTGATATCTCTCATAGGAACCGAGATAATTACTCTCAAAGTGCACATATAGGGTGGGCGAGAGAGATAGTGTGTAGACAACATTTTAAAAAAACGAAGGATAGTTTATAACATCTTTAAACTCCAAAATCTTTGGGTTTTCAAGAAAAAAACCCCATAAGGGGAATTTATAAAGAAAAGTGGGCGGAGCTTATATAGAAAATGTGAAAGACATACAAGTTGAAGGGACGAATTAGCTAGATAGATTAAAACCTTTAAACAAAGAAATTGGGCGGGAATTCAAAATGTTGGTATTTTTTCCAAAATCACAAAGTTCGTCTTTGAGTGCAAAATCCAAAATTTTAAACTTCCTAAAGTTAGGGGGCAAAGCAATTCTCCAGGGACCCATAAAAATCTTTTCTTCGCTAATCTTTTTACGCGTTTTATCGGATTTTCACTTTTTCAGGGTCCTTAGTCTAAGCCTAACGGTTTTGATCAATCTGTATAATCTTACCGTTTACCATAAGCTTGTAAGCTGGCTTTTTGACTGTGTAACTAGACCTAAATTCAAATTTCGCGCCTTTTTTTTCCAAAACTATATACTAGAAAACTTTGGAGAAGAAGAAGAAGAAAATAGAGGGAAAAAGATAAATGTAAAAACGTTGCAATCACAGAGAGAGTAGAAGAAGAATATCCCTTATTTTATCTCTCTCTCTCTCTCTTTTCCCCATTCTTCAAGGCACCCCAAGGGCAGCTGTCGTCGTTGTGTTAGAGTGGATAGAAGGGTGCCATTCGGACGAACAGAACAGAAAAACCCCGAATGAGAGAGTATTGGTCAGTGAAGAGACCGCGCAGACACATTGGGGGACCGATCGGTTTTTAATGTCTCTCGAAGGGTGGGGTCCCTTTCTCTTGGGGGGAAGTTATGAATTCCTAATGGATGGGTGGTGAGTTTTAGAAGACTAGAGCAGACATGGTTTCGGTTATATATACCTTTAAAAAAGGATAAAAAAGAGAAATGGAGGAGATGGGTTCGAACCAAGAAGTGTTCGATTCAAAATGGGGAGAGTTAGCCAGTAAGTCACGCGTGCTGCATGGGAATCTAGATGTAAACGACGGTAATGAAAGAGGCCCCCACCGCTTCGATCACCGGTGGTCCGCAGAAATTTTCAGAAAAAAGTAAATAGGAAATAGGACTTTTTTTGAAATTTCAAAAAAGGAAATTCTGGAAAAAAAGGAAAATTTATTTTTTTTAACAGAAAGAGGAATTTAAAGGAACTGGAAGGCAACATAAAAATTGTCACCGTTTCGCAATATAATATAGAGTGTTCTAGAATTTATTTGCAAAAAAAATGGAATGAGTCATATATTTATAAACACAAGGTTTACCTCTTTATAAACGAAAAAAAATGCATTTCGAAAAATGCGTTTTTGGCGGGAAATTCAAATTTAGCCTAAAATATTTAGCTTTTTCGCATAAAAAAGGTTTTTCGCATGAGTTTTGATGGGAAAACCGATTTAGGGGACTTTTTAGCCCTCCTAACTTCATTTTAGTGGCTTAAAAAAGAATAAAAAGGAATTCTAGACCAGGTGGGTTCGAACTCGGGACCTTCCAATTCCAAAACAAGCGCGCTAGCCACTCGGTCACGGTTTCGCTATCCATAAGAGGGATTAAATGGTTGTGATAAATGCGAGGGAAAGCTCGCTCGATCTGCCACCAACTTCGAAAATTTCGAAAAATTTCAAAACCCTTTTCCCGCCAAAACCACCTTCAAAACTAGAAAAAGAGAAAAAAGATGACCCAAAATTGGGACATATAAATCATCTATATATGTGTATTTGAGTTAGAAAAGAAGCTTGTACATGTTCCCGCGCAGGCCAAAAAGGACGAGAAAACTGACCGGACCGAGGCGTTTGGTGAGGATAGTATAGTCAAATGGCGTGGCGAGAGAGTGTGGTAGAATGAGAGACGCAGAGAAGAGAAGCGAGTGAGTGAGAGACGCAGACAGTAAGTGTGCAAATACAGAGAGACCGGGGGGTCATGGCCGGAAAAGGGTAGAGAAAAAGAGAGGGGGTACTAACAAAAGTTATTGTTATTAGTCACTTATAAATCAGCTGCTAGAAGTTTCAAAGGTTTTCCTAGTCATTAGAGAATTTTTTCTTGGAAAAAAAAACGAAAAATTAGCTGAAAAAACGGTTTTAAAATGCCTAAAATCCTTTAAAATGAGCATAAATTTTATTAAAAGAGTCTAGATATCCACAAAAATTGATAAAAAACGAATAACACCCAAGTGGAGTCGAACCCCTGACCTTCAGATTGCAAAACGCGCGCGTTAGCCACTAAGCCACGAAGTGCAGTGAAAACCGAAGAAGGGAGAAAGGGCAATTATAAAGCTTGTGGTGGCGCAAAGCTGAAAGCGGAGACGGCTCGGAACGAGCAATTTATCTTTTCAGACTATGAGTTTAGGGTCAAATTTCGAATGAAAAGTCAAAAAATAAGAAAAAAAACTTTATAAATACATACAAATTATACAATGACCATCTCATTTTTATACATATTTGATACAAATTCTGGAAGAAACAGCTTCTGAAGATCAATAAAAAAATCCGAAAAAAAGTGAATAAAAGAAATAAGTCCGTCATCATCTCGCCTCGGCGATAACAATGTGAACAAAGTTGTCCGGGTAGGACAAGTTTTTCGCCGCAAAAATCAATGGGGTGTGCCGTGGGACGTCGATTCCGTGCGAGATCAGACGGCGGTCATCTGGAGATGAAGCTTCTGATGATGACGTGGCAGAGGATTCAGAAGTTGGTGTCGATGCTTCAGAAGACGTCGAGAGTTGGAGGATTTCCGAGACCGCGTCGCCAATGGTTCGGAGGGATCCATCGGGGTGTTTGACAGTGATCAGAGCCTGGAATTTTTTTTTCAGCAAAAAATGTGATTTTTGGGAATCTGTGGCCTAGAAACCATATTGGATGGCCTAGGAACTCCATTTTGATGACCTAGAAATCATTTTATATCCTAGAAACCGCACTTGATGGCCTAGAAACCCACAATGATGTGGGAACCTCCTGATGGCCTAGAAATCTCTCAGTGGCCTGGAAACCTGGCTGGACCCAGAAAATCAAAAATGACTTTAAAATGACCTAGAAATCTCATTTGATGACCTAGAAACCCTATTTTAATAAACCATTGGTTCTATTAGATGGCCTAGAAACCCAAATCTCACCTGTTTGAATGGCTGATTTTTGACGTAGACTCTTAGAGGGACATGCAGAAAATCCTTCCCGTCCTTCGGATCCATCAACTTCTGAATCATTCCCCAGTACTCGTCGAAGTTGTCTGAAAACCGATTTTTATGTCATTTTGGGGGCTTTTGAGGATCATTTTCAGGTTTTAATGCTGTTTTAGAAGACCTTTTCGACCAATTTGAAGGATTTTTAGCTCATTTTGGAGTCAAATTTCAGCTTTTTCAGTAATTTGAGTTCCCATTTTAGTCCAAAAAAGTTCAACTTTCCGTCAAAATTGACTCAAAAATCCGGTATTTTGTGCTGATTTTCAGCAATTTTGGGACCAATTTTCACCTACTTTAAGCCATATTTAAAGGGGGACTCCGACCAAAAATTTTTATTGCCCTAAAATGTTTCAAAAATATGTATTTTCCTAATATTATTGCGAAAAAATTCAAGAAAAAAAATCCTAAATCCCCGAAAAACGGCGTTGAAAAAAAAAGGATTTGAATTCCCGCGCAGAAACCTAGGCCACGGCAT